CTTTCAAGCTGGAATGAAGGCAGCCTATGACAGAGCAGACTGTGGGAAGGAACCAGTCTAGTCTGCTATTCCTCTGGCTGAAGATAAGGAGTAGGCTTGAAATAGGCAGAGTTTGCTCTCTGATACAGAAGGAAGGGACCAAAAGTCCAGTATATACATGTGCATAGTAATGCTCAGCTGTGTTCAGAGTTGCTGGAAGTTCTCAATTTTAGTTACCTCCAGAGTTGCAAGCTGCACTTATGGGAAAACACAATTAAGTACCTGAGCTGACCTGACACCATCCCTTAATTTAATATCTCTAGGATATGGTGGACAAGAAATACCATGGACCAAGTCTGCTTTGTTTCCAATCTGGATGAAAATCTTTATCATCTGTTCAGATTAGGAACTGCTGAGGTTTTACTGGGACAAAGGCAAACAAAGACAGTTTTAAAATGCCTTCTTTACTACTTCACAAATGTGAATATTTCATAAGTGAATACCCTCAAGGTTACCAGAAATCAAAGTGAATACTAGGGAAAAACATGGAAACATTAAGAATATCCAAAGAATGGAGCCAGTTGAGAAATTATACCTAAAATATATCTAACTTTTACAGTGTGTCCAAGTAATTACTTCAGAAATGGACATTTTATTGTAATGAATTTACAGGTTTACCCCTTTTATTAGTGTCTCATTGCTGCTGTAACAAATTACTGCACATTTACTGAATTAAAACAACAGAAAATTATTCTCTTATAGTTCTGGAAGCCAGAAATCCAAAAGGATTCTCACAGGCTTAAAATTAAGGTTGGGGCTAGTTCCTTCTGAAGGCTCCAAGGAAGAATCCATTCTTTTCCTGAAATTTTCCAGCTTCTAGTGGCTACCAGCATTCTTTGATTTGTGGCCACATCACTTCAATCTCTGCTCATCATCACTTGCCTTCTCTTCTGTAGCTTAATCTCATTGTCTCCCTTTTATTAAGATACTTGTGATTACATGGACCCACCAACATAATCCAGGATAATCTCCCTATTTCAAGATCCTTAATCTCATCTGCTAAGTCCCTTTTGTCATATAAAGCAAGATTCATAGGTTCCAGGGATTAGGATCAGAATATCTTTGGGATCATTATTCAGCCTACCAAAGTCCCTAATGTCGTTTTCCTTTCACCACAGGACTTCAAAATGGAATTTTTCTAATGCCTATATCTAAAATTGCCTAATATAATTTATTTAAATGGTTTCAAATATCATCCATTAAACGTTCTCCAAATAATCTTTTTTTCAGTCCCCATTTGTATTCAGAATTATCAACATTTTTTGGCAAATTATCTTGCCTCCTACTTTCACTGAACTTGAGGCCATTTGATCTATGTTCTCTTGACTTCCTTTCTTTTTACCTAAAAATTTCTTTGAATCTCCACCTATTTGTTTCTTTACCAATTTATCCCAAAAGATGAAATGCAACTCTTGTATTCTAAGCCAAAGTTGTTTTCTCTCATTTTTTATTTCTCTGGTATTTCAGTCTAACACTTATCCTTCCTTTTGTGTGTGTGTGTGTGTGTGTGTGTGTGTGTGTGCATGTGTGTGTGTGTCAATCTTTTTTGTCATAGTCTTTCTCCTTAAACACTCATTTCACTTTTCATAGAAAAAACTTTCCCTTGACTTTGGTGTCCTTTCAACTACTATCTCCTTTACTTTGTCTTTAGCTCCTAAACACATCAAAAGAATAGTCCATAATCACTGCTTCTGGCTCGTTGCTTCCAACTTATTCTTTGACTGCTTGTTTTTATTTTCACTAATTTACATAGGCTACACATCCAGTGATCTTTTCTCAGTTCTCATCTTACTTGATCTCTGTAGGACATCTCACATTTCATACCACAAACACCTTTTTGAAAATATAAGTATATTATTGGTTTCTCTGAAAATTGAACTACAATTTTTTTCTACACTCTTGAACACAACTCCTTCTAGCACTTCCTCATTTATTTATTCATGTATTGAATACCTTCTATATGTTAAAGATGAATTGTAACTCTCTTTGAGGCATTCACTAATTTCATTTGTTAGATCTTTTTTTAGTCTTCACATTAAAATTAAGGCCTCCCCAAGGTAATCCTTTCATTTGCATGTGCTCTTGTTTAGTTTTGCCAACACCTCTCTATGGATGCTCACTTAACATTAATTTACTTTATTTGATTTATTCAATAAATATTTATTGAGAATTTATTATGTGCTAGGTATTGTGCCATTCTCTGGGGATGATGAGCAAAAAGATACATGTCCTTGGGGAATTTATAAGTCCAGAGCAAAAGACAAATATTAATAAAATAATCATAAAAATAAATGTATAATTATAAACTGTAAAAAGTGCTTTACAGGAAAATAAATGAGCACTGAGGGCATTAGGGAAATTAAGGGTAGAGGTCAGATGGGGTCAGAATCAGGGAAGGCTGTGCCAGGGAGTGATGTTTAAGCTGAAGAATGAGAATGGGTCAACTAAAAAAAACATATCCCAGGTACAGCAACAAACATGTGAGAAGACCATGTAGTGAGAACAACATGTGTTCAGGAAATGAAATGCTCTAAGGGTTGGTATGGTTGGAACCAGAGATTTGTGGGGGGGTGGGTGGAGTATTGTATAAGATAAAGCTGGACTGCTAGGTGATGGTCATTGTATTCTTAATGATTTAATTGTTATTAGAAGATTGTGTTAGTCAGCTCAGGCTGCCATAAAAACATACCACAGATTAGTGGCTTAAACAACAGAAATTTATTTTCTCAGGTTTTGGAGGCTGGAAGTCTGACATCAGGGTGGCAGCATGGTCAGGTACTGGCGAGGGCTCTCTTCCTGGCTTGCAGATGGCTGCCTTCATGCTGTGTCCTCATATGGTGGGCGGGGGAGAGATAGGGCCATTATCCTACAAGATTAGGGCCCCACCCTTATGACCTCATTTAGCCTTAAGTACCTCCTAAAGACCTTATCTCCAGATATAGTCACATTGAATGTTAGAGCTTCAACACATGAATTTTGGAGGGACACAATCCAGTCTATAGTAAGGACCTCCAGAAAGTCACCGAATAATTTACATTCAACACATGAATTTTGGAGGGACACAATCCAGTCTATAGTAAGGACCTCCAGAAAGTCACTGAATAATTTACAATGAGATGATATAATTACATTAGATAAGACAGCACTAGATGCCATGTAGAGAATGGACAGAAGAGGTACAAAAATGGACATGAAGGCCAGTTAGGAATCTTTGCAGTATTCTCTTTAAATCTAGACTGAGCTTAGTGCAGTACTATTGGAAAGTAGAGATAAAATTGATCAGATAGAGCAATTCATTTGATATAAGAGTGAAGTTATAAAAGGTACCAGGGATGGTAGTCGGGGTTCTAGATTATTCGACTGAATGGGTGAATGGGTGATGAAGCCATTCAAAGAGATATGGAAAACTGGAAGAGGACTAAGTGTGGGGGAAGGATCATGAGTTCAGTTTTATACATGGTACATTTCAGGTATTTTTTAGACATTAAATATTTAACAATTTTGAAAGATAATGGTATTTTGTCAGTGATTAATACTAAATCCTTAAACAAATGCCCTCTAAATACCAGTGCCCTAACACAATAATAGTTCCAGTACTTTGAGGTGTCATGAGAGAATAAACAATCAATAGTGTAATGTTCCTAAGAAACAGGTGGAAGGATAGGCTGGAGTGCAAACAGCTTTCCTGTTGAAGGAAAAATGCCCAGTATGAAGCACTTTCCTGCAGAAACCTTAACATTTCACATTTCCAAATAAGAGCTCATTACCTTTTCCACAAAATCTGTAACCGTTTCTTTACTGCCTAATAGTACTAATAATATTGCTATTCTTCTCCCTAACTATCGGATGAAAACTTTATCTTCTTTTCTTCCTCACCCTCCTCCCCAAATCTATTCCATTACCAACTTTGGTACTGATTTAATTGTTAAGCAAATTTGGTAATGATTTAATTTTTGGAACTGCCAAATAAATATAGATTTATACATTTGCCAAATTCACATCCACCAAATCAGGCTTGAGGATGGTCTGATATTTAGAAACTCAATAAATTTGGGGAGAGGAGGGTATCAAACTTCTAAATTCTAGGTCACCCTACTTTTGGGGTGAATTTTGCTGGAACTGGATTTTCGGAACACCTACATAGTACTACGCAGAATCAAACCAGCTCTTTGCACCAGTGCCTTGGTCTGAAGCAATTGCTGGAGGAATAGAACGAGACCTGGCTCTGGTTAGTACACATTTGAATTCTCTTTGATGTAAGGCTTCTGTTTCCACTATAACATTTCGGTAGCCCACAACTCCTCGTTTCTTAAAGTTCTTGAGCAGCCCAGTCTTTGTTTCCAAACTTCGCCGAATTCCAGTGAAGTTTGTAATTTTTACCACAAGGTTGAGAGGCTGATTGCATCCGGTCTGGAACCATTTCCCAGTCCTTTCACTTCTTTTGCTCTTATTTATTTGCCCACCAAGAAGAAAGCTTCAGATGATCTGGTAAAATCCTCACAGATGGGCAGTTAGAGTGAGCACGGACAATTCGTGTCGACCAATGGCCTCCTCCCACTTGCACATCCTCAAGTCCGGATGCAGCTTTCAGTCCGCTCGCTCCCCTGTCACCTGGCGCACCTGGTCCTACAGGCCACGCCCTCAGGTCGCCCTCGGCGCCGCGAAGACAGCGCGACGCGAGGCCACACCTCCCTCTCTTCCTAAGCTTTCGCTCCACGCCCCGCCCCCGTCGCGAGGCCATCTCCAGCCCTCGCGCCCTCGCTCCACCCCTTCTAGTTCCCCAACGTCCTCGGCGTCGGGCCCAGGCCTGCGCCTGCGCGTGCGCCTTGGGGGTCGAAGTCCGGGCACGCCGTGGCTAGAACGCGGAGAGCGGCGGGCGGTGCAGCCAATGGGAGGCGGCGCTGTCTAGCGGCTGGGAGGCGGGGTCTGCGCGGGTGTTAGGTTAGAGCGAGGCGTGACCTAGTTGACAGGCTCTGAGGTGCTGCTGTGGCGGCGGCCGCGGGGCTGAGGCGGGTGGGAGCCGGAGCCGAGCGCGGGCTCAGGGAGGAGGGCGGCGACTGGAGAGTGGCTAGCGGCGCGGGACGCGGATCCGCTTTCGCTTTTTCCCTCCCGAGTGCCCCCTCCCACCCCTCCCACTCCACACACACCGTTTGCCCGTGAGCCTGGGGAACTTGCAGCTTAAAGCCAGCCACCCCCACGGCAACATGTACCCCAGCAACAAGAAGAAAAAGGTGTGGAGAGAGGAGAAAGGTAACCGGCCCGTCGAGTCCTGGGGGTGCGGGGGATGGGGGTGGGGTGGGGGCAGGGGGCAGGCTGTGTGTGCCGCGGCGCCCTCCGTCCGAGCTCCCGCCTCGCGCCCCGCCGGCCGGTGCCGCCTCCCGCCCGTCTGCTGTGTACACACGCGCACACGCTCGCGCTCAACGGCGTGCACGCGCCGCCCCCGGGCACCTGCAGCTCGCACACGTGTGGGCGCACGCCCCTCTCTACCGCCCGCCGCTCCCGGTCACCTTCTCCCTAGGCGGGGCTCAGTCGCGGCGTGGACCCCCGCACAGTCTCCCTCGGGCACGGCACAACTTCCTCTGGACCCCAGCTGGGACTTTGGCACGCCCGGCTGGGGTGTCCCACGGACAGGTGCCCGCTGGTGGGCGCTCAGGCTGCAGCTGCTGCTGCGCCTCCGCGCTCCCTGCATCCTCATTCCTTCCTTCCTTGCCTCTGCTCCTCCACCCCTTTCCCAACTGGCAAAGTGTCCCCACCTTCGGGTTTTTACCCCTTTTCTATATCCCCCTCCGCCGCCTCCGCAGTGTGACTTTTGAAACCTGGAACTCTTGGGGAAACCGTGAGGCTAACTGCCTTCAGAGAAGTCTGAATGGGTGTTTCTCTCAGCAGTGTTTCTCTATTCCATCCCCGTTCATGGTCTGAAGTTGCTCAGAGTAAGCTCCTGTGACTGATGTCACTCTGAATGAACCCACCCCTGAATTTTGTATGTATCAAGGCTTATCCAAACCAGCTGGATTGACAGTGGCTCTCATTCCTCTAAGCCAGGAAGTGTGTGATTCCGTCTCCTCCCCACCCCACCCCCCATCTCTCTCTCTCTTTGGCATCACAGGTAGATGATATTCTTATATAAAATTTGAGTCTCTGGTGTTTCCCCCCCACCCCTTTTCACACCTCTTTCCTTTCATTCTTTAGCTTTTTACAGAAATGTAACAAAAAGTACTTGGATTGTTACTAAGATACGCTAAACATGGGTGAGTTAAAACCCGTAGATTTTTATTGCAAGTCCTGGTCTTTACCAACATGAAGGCCAAAGAGTGAAAGTAAAAGGAATTAATGTGGAAAAAGAATCCTCTGTATAATAGGACCTCCTTCCAACAATACATGAGGAAAAGGGTGAGGAGGGAATTCTTTCAAATAATCTACCAGGAAGATTTAACATAATATAACTGAACACATTTAAAAGGGTCTTTAAAATACTGAAAGATTAGCTTGTATGTCATTTAATTGTTTTAACGATTATGGGCATGTATAGATATAAAAATTCTGGTGTCTCAAAACATGCTGTTGAGAATAATAGCATGATATGTAAAGTAGTGTAAAATAATTTTGCTTTGTTTTTGCAGTAGCAGTCTCTTTAGTTTCAATACACTTTCAACAAAGATTTACCTGTGAGCACTGAAAAATCATTTATGCCCATTTTAGTTGATGGTCTTGAAATGTTAGCTTTGTATTATTGATGATAATGAAAACAAGATAGTGGAAGACATAGATGTTGTTTCAGTAACATGAATCATTGATGAAATTTTAGTGAGTACTTAACTATTTTTCTGTCATAATAGGAAAACAATGTTTCTGAAGTAACCGTTCCTTTATTTAACATATACACAGTTGGACTGTGGCAATGAGGCATCTTAAAATCTCTTTTTAATGTCTCAATTTGTTTCATCTATTTCGTCTAATAATAAGAAAAATATAGCTAAATTAATATTTTCTAAGTGAAGAAGCAAATGCACAATTAAGGAAGGCAGTTAACAAAGTCATTTTGTCTTATCGAAAACTAAGCTGTTTTTGAATGAAGTTTAATGTTAGAGGAAAAAGTTCTTATTTCAAGACTTTAATGTGTGTCTGAGTGTTTTACCAGGATGTCTATTTTTAGAATATTTAAATATAAAATGTCATACATTATACCACCAAGAAGGAGCTAAGGATTTCTAGTATAGCAGTATTAGAGAAGCTGGTGGGATACATGCATGACTTTTGTCCTTTCATCCCACTAGAAGACTGTCAGCATAATATTTTTGTAGCTGTTTTTTAAATCTAAAGAAAGGCTTACCAACCTCATCGAAATGTCAAGGCATTCTATATATTTTACTCAAATATACCGTTTAGTAAGTAGATCTGCCTATTTATATGCTTGGTTCACAGAGGAAGGTTTCATTGTAGAGGTAAAGCATTCTTTAAAGAAAAGTTTTATGTAATGCTGTAGAAACTGTATATATGTCTGTGGACTTCAGTATGTTTCATTGTTTAAACAAATAACTAAGGAGTTCTCAGGAGCATACATGTTAAATAAGCATTATTGATTTAGTATTTTGAGTCCTAATTCAGAACAATTTAATGTGTATTTTCGTTTCAAGTATTGTAACTTAAATTATCTCATTGTTTTATTTTATTGTTTTATTATTGACCTTGTTTTTGTTCTGTGTCCATACTTAAACTTTTAAACAAATGGAATGACAGTTGGAACAATTTAATGTGTATTTTCGTTTCAAGTATTGTAACTTAAATTATCTCATTGTTTTATTATTGACCTTGTTTTTGTTCTGTGTCCATACTTAAACTTTTAAACAAATGGAATGACAGTTACCTTCTGACATTTATGAAAACTGCAAGTTGCTTCATAATGTCTTTCAACCTGATTAGTACTATTGTAATAATTCTGTGTTAGTAGTGCTTTGGCAACTGTTAGTCATTTCCCTTTTCTGCCTTTTTGTGTGTGATAATTCCAAATTTACCATTTCCTTCAAGCTTCCTTTTCCATCAAGACCCCATGCCCTTATACTAAATAGATGACATTGCCTTTTTAATTCACGGGGAAAATAAATGCCATATAACATGAACAGCCCTGACATCTTCCTCCATAGTCTCATTGGTCTGTTTATTTGCATGTCCTTTTGGCTTTGTTTCTATCTCAGAGGAAGCACTTTTCTTTATTATTTCTAATAAACCCTCTACATGTTCTCTTTATCCCATCTCCTGTATTCTTTGAGATGTTTTGTGTCATTTATTAACTGTTGGGTACACTTGATTTCTCAGTGTCTTTGGGTTCCTCTCTGCTGTCTATAACAATGCTCAAGTCTCTTCCACCTTAAAGTAGCTTTCCTTCCACATGGCTTCGCCTTGGAGTTGTTCTCACTTTCCTTCTTTTTGCTCATCCCTCATAGTCAGTCTCCTGGATATCAGTTCTATTCTAATGAAACTAATGTTCTTTAAATCATTCAGCAATAACAATGATGGTACAAAAATGAGAATAGTTACTATTTAAATCCTGTTTGTGTGCTCAGCATTATTCTTAGTAGCTTACACGGGTTATCTCATTTAATTCTCACAAAAACCATATGAGGTAGGAAACTGTATGAGTAGACAGTAAGGTCAAGAGTTTTGAACCCTAGTTGCCTGAGTTTGAATCCTAGTTATATTGCTTACTAGCTGTGGGACCTTAGGTAAGTTATTTTACCTCTTTGTTTTAGTTGCTTCATCTATAAATTGGAAATACCTACTACTTATGCCAAAAGGAAACTAAAACATTAAGAAATTAAGTAACTGACCCAGGATCACACAGATTTGCATAATGAGTTATAGTAGAACCCAAACAACTCTTTTAACCACTTGGCTCTCTTTTCGGTGCTGTTGATGACCCAGTTGATAAAAATGCTTATTAATCTTTATTCTTACTGACCTTCCTGTAGCAGTGGATAGTATTTCCTCCTCCTACTTATTAAAACTTTTTCTCCCTCCCCCCCTTGTTTCCTTATCACTGGGACTTTGAACCCCCGGTGACAACTAAGTGTCACATCATTGCTCCCCTGTTTGTGCTCAGTCCCTAAATGTTGGTTTTTTGAAGTTTGGTCCTCTGCTTCTTTTCTCCCTCCCTTTCCTCTCCTCTCCTTTTCCTCTTCCTCTAGGACCAGAAGTTACAATTTCCAAATAGGCTGGAACTCTGCTGAGTTCCAGAGTCTTGATTTTAACTCCTTGATTATCCTGTAGCCACCTTAAACTCAATTTGTTGACCCTTGAGTAATGTGATTTGAGTATGTCACCTCTGATTAAAAAAATTTTTTTATGTCTCCTATAGTGGCTGAAGAAGAGATAGTTCTGGGAGTGGGAAAAATGTTGGTTCCCCATTTTTTGTTCCCTTTTGCTTACATTAATACTTCTGCTGTTTATTTCTGTGAAAGAATCTTTTAAAGTGATTAGTTTCTAAGGGTTAGATTACCTTAAACTAGGCACTATCCTTAAATCCATTCACCTAAACAACTACAATACCTTGTAATATTCTGAAAGAGAATTGGAGAGTGTGAGAGTATGACTGTCAATCTCCACATTGTGGAGGCCTCTGGTATATGATACATAACAGCTGACATACAGACTGAGTGAGGATGCCAGTATCAGTTTATATATTGAATATTAGTAAATCTTAATTTCTTCCATGTTTCTTTAGATTAAAAAGAAATATAAATAGAATTTCTTACATTTTTTTCCCTGCATGGTAGTGGATAATTTTTTGTGCCATCTGTGATATGCATAATCAGCTTTGAGTATTGGTGCTCTACTTCATACAATAAAGGTTAAACTCTTCAGCATGCTATATAAATCCCTGTAGAGTATCATTTTACCTTAGGTTTCCAGCTATTTTTCACTTGTGGCCATTCCCCTCCTCATACTGTGTCTTTGAGTATTGGTGCTCTACTTCATACAATAAAGGTTAAACTCTTCAGCATGCTATATAAATCCCCGTAGAGTATCATTTTACCTTAGGTTTCCAGCTATTTTTCACTTGTGGCCATTCCCCTCCTCATACTGTGTCTTTCAGCTTTACTAAAGTATTTGTATTTCCTTACCTTTGTTTTCGTTGTTCTGTTAGTCTGAAATATCCTAACTTTTTACCTCTTCATGGCAAAATTCTCCCTATCCTTCATGAAGCAGCATTGGGAACTTTTCCTGAGAATGTAGAATAGTGTAGTGGCTAATAGACTAATGGAGATATCTGTCTGGATTTTGGCTTACTATTTGAATGCTCACTTGCTTTGGGCAAACTTCTTAACTTTGCTGTGCTTCATTTCCCTATCTTCAAAATAGGGATAATAATACTATCAATTTTATGAGTTGTTGGGAAGATTATTTCAGTGAGATTATACATGTGAAATACCTGGTACACAGTGAGTTCTTTATAAATGACACCCCTATTATTAATTCTAAGATGCAATTCTTCTTTTATGTTTTTTTATCTTATAAGCAAGATGTATATTTAAAAGAATGTTTTCTATCACTACCACAAAGCTGTTATTAAATTAAAAGTGCACTTTTATTCTTGATGGTATTATAGAATTGAGGAAATATCTTGGTGGCTGCCTGTCTTGTGCTCTCACTGTTTATACATACCCATTTTAGCATTTTATGTTTTATTTCCATAGGTATTATTTTGTATCTTATCCATCTCCTCTTTTGTCCTGTAAACTCCTCAAGGTTAAAGATCACCTTTGTTCCTGCAGTATATGAATGCATCACCTGGCATGTAGTAGAATGTCAGTAGATGTTGATTGAAAGAGTAAATGAATATACTTACTTCTTGGACAATCACAAGAGAGTCTTCTTCATCAGGCTTTGATTTCTTTTTTCTTGCTAATATGAAATTAATTTGACACCTTTTAACACTCATATATGGAGTGATTGCATTTGCATTTTAGTGTTCCTCAAGACTGTACCAAGCCTTTGGTTAGTTTAACATGGTTGATATTTAAAGTGTAAAATAATTCCTGAGCTCAAAAGTTAAATACAAATGGAGATTCTGCTTTTATTTTGCAAGAACGTTTACTGAAGATGACCTTAGAGGAGAGACGCAAAGAATACCTAAGGGACTATGTTCCCCTGAACACCATCCTATCCTGGAAGGAGGAGATGAAAGGCAAGAGCCAAAATGATGGTAAGTTTCTCAGAACATGTTTTAGGTAGATGCTGTGCCCATTTATTTATAAATCCTGCAGGACAATTGTTGACAGAAATGATTAAGTGGCATTCAATAAAGAGATGACATTTTTGCTATTTTAGTATTTGAAATTATTGCTTGGTGTCATTTAATTGTTTTTAGTAATCTATCATATGTTTATTAAGGTTAGGAAAGTGTATTAATATAATTGTGTTCTGAAATATACCACATTTATGATATGGTACTTTTTTAAATTAAAAAAAAATTTTTTTAACTGTTCTGCAATAGTTTCTTGGAGCAAATGCTTTAGGGATTTGCTGCTTCGGTGGCTTGGCCCATTGAATTTGCTTTGGTTAGTTTCATTTATATAGCATTTCTGTAAGTTATTTTAAGGATTGGATTTAGTTGAAAGAGAGTGTATTAGGAAGAATAGAGAAAAACCAAATAACAGTTTTCATAATTTTAGAGCATATATATTTTGAATGCTGTGGTATTAATTCCACATGTAAAGTATTTGTATAACAGAATTTACTTTCTCAAAGTCTATGATTTGAAGAAAGTCTAGATGAAGTTTTAAGGAGTAAAAAGGTGGATGGGAAGTTTCTAAAAACATAATAGATTTAATGCATATTTAATATGTTTACCTCTGCATTAACACTCATTGGTATTAATGATCTGGATGTGAAGTTTAGATAAATAGGGTACTTTTTAGTTGAGAAAGAAAGGAGACGTTATGAAATGGACTTGGAACATGCTGATTTCACAGGTGTGGTCTTAGATTGATGGAACTATACAGGATACTATGGGCCTGGAAAATGAAGACTAGCATAGAATTCCCTGAAATCTGTGGGGAACAACAGCCACATTAGGCTTTGGTGTCTGTGAAAAGAACACATTTACCTGAGGATATGGGCTTTAGACAGAATTTTGTTTTTCTGAAAGGCAAAGCATGTGGGGTTGGGAGTGAAAAAAATGTGTGTTCTTTTAGACCTTACACCACCTGGAGACATGTGTGATCTTGGGCAAGTGGGGTAGTGGCTCTACCCAAGTTCTAATGAGGTCATTGGACAAGTTGATTGGGATGTGCACATCTGATCTGCCTGCCCAGTATCTTCAGAAAATAACAATAATGGTCTAACTAAGATGTCATTGAAAGAGAAGGCAGTGCTGTGTAATGAAAAGAATACAGAGCCAGAAATCAGGGAGACAGAGTTCTGGCCCTTTCCGACATAGGGTCATGTGCCTCTTCATGTTTGGGTCTTAGTTTATTCTTCTTTTGTTTGTAGGCCACTGGTATTGAATACTTCTGCTCCATTTTTTTATGGCTAGTAAATCTCTTTTTCAGTTCTTCATTTAACTCATTATCTTTCTTGGTTGCTATTTTAGCTGGTCAGTTTTCTAAGGATGCAGTACATGATGTTCTTTCTAACAAATTTTGCTTCTTGAGATAGAGATAGAATCCTGTGCTGGCAAAAGAACTGACAAAGCAGCAGTGATACCCAGGCTGCATTACCCAATGTTGGGCCTGCTCATTTCTGCACAGAGGCATGGCCTTTCTATTGGCTGCTTCTGTTAGAAGATTCAGCAAGTAACAATGTAGGATAGAACTGGATTGTGAGAGAACCCAGAGATGGATGTTTTCAGAGATACCACGCACGAAAATATGTTCCCCAATCAGAAAAGATACATTGAATAACACATGACATGGTTATTGTTTAACAAGATGCTGTGGATTTAATCCCATCTCCCAATATGAGCTTTACAAGTGGTTTACAACTGCTCTTTGTATTTCATTTTCCCCCCCTTATGCATTTTTGAACTTGAAAATTCTCCATGGGGAACTAGGTAATATTGTCAAAATTGTATTCCTATTAAATAGTGTTTTATTCTTTCCATCTAATATCTGAAATGTTACTTCTCTCTATTGTGACAAACTGGTGACTGATCTCCCTTTTTCATGAGATGGAATGGCTCATTCTGCAAGTAATATTTGTTCATTTTTTTTTTTAAATACACATCTTTCATATTTTCTTGCTTCTTGTGTTACCTATTCAGTGCTCAGTTTTAATAATATATTAGTCAAGAAAGTTTTAGTATTTTAACAGTTGAAAAGATCCTTTAAGAACGTAAATTCAAAAAAATGATGAAGGACTACTATACCTATATTTTATATATATTTTTGTATTTTATTTTGAAATGTTTAAGTCATTGGTTATAAATGTATATGCATATGAGTATAAGTAGGTTGATATTTATAATAGTTTAATCTTTTTTTAAAATTAAATTTAATTGACATAATAATTGTACATATTTATGGGGTACAGTGTGATATTTGGATACGTGTATACAATGTGTAATGATCAAATCAGGGTAAGGAGCATATCCATTGTTTCAAATGTTTGTCATTTCTTTGTGTTGGGAACATTCAGAATCCTCTCTTCTAGCTATTTGAAATTATACAACAAATTATTGTTAACTATAGTTGTCCTATAGTGCTATAGAACACTAGATAGATATTATTCCTCCTATCTAGCTGTGATATTTTTATATTTTATTTTGGAATGTTTAAGTCATTGCTTATAAATGTACATGCGTATAAGTAGGTATTGATATTTATAACAGTTAAATTTTTTAAATATGGGACTTTTAACTAAGTACTAAAAGAAGTCTGTTTATAATTCCTTGTCACTTAAGTTTCTAATTTGTAGGACATGAACAACAATATTTATTGGGCTAGAACAGTATACCAATTTTAAATTTAGTTGTTTATCATTACCTGTGTTTTTAAAGAAGGCTGTTTTGGCCTTAATATCTATGATTACATGGAAAGCTATTTTTCTTTTTCTTTTCTTTCTTTTTTTTTTTGCTTTGCTCAGATTTCCTTAATTAAATGCTTCTTGTTATTTTATTATAGTAGAAAGTTAATTAAAAAGGAGGGAGTAGCTGAATGAGTTTTTAACAATTTTGGTTTTAAGCCTTCCTAAAATAAAAGGAAACCAAAAATTGCCCAACAATATCGAATCAATGTTTGGATGGAAAGGAGGAGGCAAGTAGATAACATTTTTACTTTGACTTATTACTTTGGTAATATTGGAGAGCTTTGGATCAGAAGAGGAAAGAATGGGAGGTGATTACCAAAACAAAACAAAACACAAAACCTATTAAATACTTACATAAAATAATAAATGATGAGGATGACTTAGGTGAAAACTATAAATTTATTTTACTCAGGTATGACAAAATATTTTTAAAAATTGGTCATTTAGAAAGAAACTTCTTATTTCATATCTTATATGTATGTTTATATTCAAATCTGATTTATAGGTCATTTGAAAAACTAATATGAAATGTCTGTGAACTATCTAGTCTTCTTCGTAAGTCTGAATCTCTCTCCATTTTTTTGAGGTGTATAGAAATATTTTGATATGCATAGGTTGATTAGAGGCACGTTTATAATCTATCGTTTCTTTCATGTAAGAAATATTAACATAGTAGTTTAAAAAGTTCAGCCTTATTTGTTCCCATTTTCATTAGTACTAATTTCTACTTTTAAATTACTTCTTTAAGAAGTAATGGATAACCAAATAAATAAAAGTTAAGTCCAAACTTCTGAACTTAACATAGTAGTTTAAAAAGTTCAGCCTTATTTGTTCCCATTTTCATTAGTACTAATTTCTCTTTTAAATTACTTCTTTAAGAAGTAATGGATAACCAAATAAATAAAAGTTAAGTCCAAACTTCTGAACCCCCCTCCCGTCACTGGGCCTTTATTTGGAATTTTCCTTACCACTCATGCATCAATGGTTGCCTTTTTTCATCTTTCAGTTCTAAGCTTGAAAGCCTTCTATTCTCTGTGAAGTCTTCCCTGACTCCTTACGCTGGTAGAGTCCTTTATTACATACTCTCATAGAGCTAAATTTTTTTTCATAGAGCATTTATAGCAATTGGTTTTTGTGTACTCCATCATGGGATTATCTAATCAAAGTCTGTCTTCTTTATGAGACTGATTACCACGAAGATAGGGACTGTATTGTCCTAACTTTCTTTTATATCCCTGGTGTCTGGCACAGTGTGTAGTACACAATGCGCAGTAAATATTTGTTCTGTGAATTGAATAAATGATAAACTATTTACCTAATGATATTTTTATGCATTATTTCCTTTCTTTCCACCTTTCTTCACTGTATTATAAAGATTACTGTGGAAATGAAAGCCTTAGAAATTAAACCAGGTGATTTTTAACATAGGTGATAGTTTACATTTTTGTAATATGAGATTGGTTTTATTAAGTTTTAAATGTTAGATAGCCCAATGATAAATTTTAATAAAGATTTTACTGAACTATTACGTGATATTTAACTAGCTGAGCCAAGGATGAGAATTCACGTGTTATTTGTATTCATGAGTATTGTATATTATTTATAATACATAGTAACTAAGCGTCATGATTTTAATTTCTGTGACCTTAAATGTCAACAAAGCTTAACTAAAATAAAGTGTTGTCATTCTAAGTGCATTTACTTTGGCATTACTGATTCTTCAATCAACTAGAAGAAATTATTTTAATATTATGTTCTGTTTAAGTCCTTTATTGAGTTAGTTTGTTTGCTTCAAAGAGGACTTGGATACAGACAAAGAATTTGTTTCCCGAGGAAGAATTAGACTAAATAACGTCTAAGGATTTTGAGAATAAATGAAATTCACTCCAGGTATGAAAACATTAAGAATTTCTGTGTAATTGTATTCTTTGTGAAGGGTTGAGCACTGGTTTAGTCAAATATTTGTGAGGTAATTTTATTTAACTTCTAAAATGGAGAAGAAAAGAGTATGAAGTTATATAGGAATTCATGAATTATTGCATTGTTCTGTTTTTCCTGTTTTATTTCCTTCTTGGGTCTTTCGACTGCTTTCCAAGATTATTTTGACAACACATAAATAAGTTTTATTGTGCAATGCAGTATATACCACTGAGTGTAATGTAAATTGTCCTTGTATTA